ATGCCGATGCAACAAACTTATCCATGAGGAGAAGATGCAGATGTTCAATACTTTTTCCACCACGTGACACATTTCGTTAGCCTTAATGCTCATCGCTTTTCTTCCTCCCTATAACGACTGCCGTAACTATGGAATTAGATGATAGATCCATAAAGATGCTATTATTTGATGTTGACAACAGGCAGGTAATTCTTGATCGCTATGAATATTGATTCACGCCGTTTTGTCAACAATAAGTCCTTATACGTGATGAACTGATGATGTTCGCGAGGATGACGTGACTTTCACCTTTCTATTCTTGTAACGGCTAGCTATGGTTCCATGTTGCTACACTTCCGTATTTGTTTTCCGGTTTCTTTTTGCCAACATTATTAACACTTTGTGAACTATAAAAGCAACTTCCCTTCTACTACTTCTTTAGATGCTTAAGCAACATCCATGTTAGTTTCGTATTGAGCGTATGCCTTGATAAAAAAATGTTGCAGCAGGTTCCAACTGGTCAGATCTAGGGTTGTATATCACAATTAACAAAAGTAATTGCAGTAATTCTGTAGCACCTTTATTCTTCTTCGTACGTCACATGGCGACTTTCGTGCCTCTTGTACAGATGAAATACGACGGGGGCTACTGCTGATCATAAGTGAATAGAGTTGCTCTGCTGAATTAGTACAGAAACACATAGGAGATGTTTGTCTGTCTTGTGAATAATGTGACACAAAAAACCCTCGTAATGAACAGCATTTGATAATCCTGCTACGGAAAAGCACCTTTGGCCGACAGGAGTCTATATGACTCAGTTTGCGTGTAGAGGAAAAATAAGCGTGATTGTAACGTGTTAACACATGATGCATGACGCTCAATCTAACGTGACTTCTGTGTGGGAAACAAAGGGAACGATGACAAATTGCAGACTTATTAGAGACTTTAACATTCCCTACTATTCGCCATACGTTGCGTGGTTTCTTGTCCAACTACACTGTTGTCAGTGCTTAGAAGTATGGAAAGAAAGAAAATGTTTCCAGTGTTTAGTCTACACCTGCATTTGTATAGCTGCCCATTCCATACGATAAGCACTGTAGTTCATGTATACTGGAGGTAAAATAACAGCTTGAAGTTGTTCCATTTGCTTGCTTTTAGAGGAGTGTGACACTGTATATCACCTGTGTCACCTGTCGTCCCGTTGATCGTCGAGTAACTCGAGCGGGTACCAGCAACTCTTCCATTTTTCCCTATCGCGTGCAAGAGTTGCCCAGTGGGTCCTCCTCTCTCCAGGGATTCGCTGAGCATCATATCTTTCTTCTATCGCTTTCGTTAAGAAATCGGACCAACGGGTCAGTGGTCTTCCTTTGGAGCGCTTGACGTCCCGAGAAGTCCAGTCGGTAGCGGCTCTCGTCTTTCGGTTGTCGTTGAAGCGCATCACGTGTCCGGCTCACCTTATTTTCAATATCCTGGCTTGTAGAACGGCGTCTCTGGTTTTCGATCGTTGACGTAGGTCGGAACTTCGGATCCTTTCTCTCATTTGCGAGATGCGGGATACTCCTAGCATCGACCTTTCGACAGCGCGTTCGATATGCCAAGTGATCTTTCATCCTACTCTCGTAGCGACCAGGTTTCTGCTGCATACGTTAGGGCAGGGATAATTGTCGAGTCGATAAGGTGGGCACGGAGTCGGACGTTCTTTGTCCTCTTCACTACATCTTCGATACTCTTAAACGTTTCCCAAGCCGCTCGTTTCCTCCTGCTCAACTCTGGGGCTAGGTCGTTCATCATGTTGATTTCACTACCTAGATAGACGTAGCTGGAGCATTCGGAGATTGTTGTTCCGTTGAGCGTGAATAGAGCATTCGAAACCCATTCGTTCCTTATAAACATTGTTTTCGTTAGATTTAGTTGAAGATCAATCTTTCCACAGGCGTTATTCGAAATCGATCAACATTCGTTCGGCTTGACTGATGTTTGTGCTATGAGAACGATATCGTCAACAAAGCAAAGATGATTTTGTTGTCGACCCTCAATTTTCACTCCCATATCGTCCCACTATGATGTTCGCATGACGCTTTGTAGTGTAGCAGTGAATACTTTTGGCGAATTTGTATCGCCTTGTCCAACCCCTCTTCTTACGTCAATGGTGATATTGTTGTGGAATGGAGATATTTTGGTCGTGGAATCTTTATAGAGCTCACGAAGGATCATTATGTACGAAGTAAGGACGCCCTGGTTATCCAGAGCCTCTATAACCTTTTCTGTTTCCACTGAATCATAGGCTTTCTTTAGATCGATGAAAGTGAGACAGAGTGGTTGCTTGTACTCCCATGAAACTTCAGTGAGTCTTGTAATCGTGTGGATATGGTCTGTGGTGCTAAATCCTTTTCGGAATCCTGCTTGTTCGCACAGCTGTCCTTCGTCTAGTGTTCTGCCAATCCTGTTTAGGATGACTCGAGTAAAGAGTTTATAGGCAATGGACAGCAATCAGATTGGGCGATAATTGCCTATGTCGTGAAGGTCTCCCTTTTTGAACAACAATACGGTCTTGCTGGTTTTCCATTGAATAGCGACCTTGCATTCTGACAGGTAGCGAGTGAAGAGCCGAGCCACGGTGTTGATGAGAACTGGCGGCAGGTTCTTCAGGCATTCTGGTCTAATCCTGTCTAGACCGGGTGTTGTTCTGTTCTTCACTGACGATATAGCATGTCGGCATTTCGGAAAGGAAGACCGGTGGAACGACATATTCGTCCTCTTTCAATTCATATGTCGGCAAGAGGACATGGCTAGCGAGGAGATCCGAGTAGTATTGGTGGATGATTTTCTCCATAGCCCTTCTCGAAGCTGTAAGTGTCCCGTCAGGGTATCGGAGTGCAATCATCTTGGTCTTATAGTTGGCGAAGCCTCACTGGGCTTTGCGAATGCTCTTCCCAGCTTCTGCATCTTCTGCCATAACGGTTGCTCTTCTCTCCTTGAAGCTTCTTTTATCGCTTCTCTGCAGCGTTTCTCAAGTCGGACGTGAGGTTCGGTTGCCTGCAGCTCGTGTGATCCCACGTTAACGTATCAGTTCGAGTGTCTGTGGAGACAAGCGTCTCTTCGTGACCTTAGGACTCTCGGTTTTCATAGCGTTAACGTGAAGTCAACGAGTCGATCGTGTTCTTCGTCGATGTTGTCGACAACGGTATCTTCCCAAGAGCCGACTAATGATCTGAATACATCTCAGTTTATGGTAGTTCTGGGACTTCGTTGATCGAATTTAGCGGCTTTCTCTCCTCTCCTCGAAAAACTGACGTTGCGCGAAGGAGGCGAAGCTCTGATCCCGTGTAGAACTTAGGATCAACAGTGACATCAGTCAGGCAAAACCTTCGCTTTACTAGGATGCGATCTACTTCGTTATGGTACGCTCTATTGGGATACTCCCACGTCCATTGCTGAGAAGGAGGCTTTTGAAATTGCCAGTTGCAATGGATCGTTTGGGTCTCATGATAAACTCAGATAGCCTCTCACCCTGTTCATTCCATTCTATTCAGTGGGACCCTATGCGACGTTCTTCAGACGTTCTTCTAGGTCCGATTTTTGCGTTAAAATCTCCGACAATGATCTTGAAGAATGTATGATCTTCTCTGAAGAATTCTTCAAGGTCCATATAGAACGCTTCGACTTCGTCTTCGTCATAGCTTAATGTTGGTGCGTAAGCAACGAAGATGGTCAAAGCCGGCATAGAACCACATCGTTTCAACCGTAATCTCCATTTGGGTAGTTAGTTGTTCAAACGAATCAATGCTCACGGTCAAATTCGACTTGACGAGGACGCCAACGCCGCCGACACCTCTGCGATCGCATGTACCAAGGAATAGTTCTTCTCCGGTATTATAAACAGCGCGAAAATGATGGCACCTTTTCGTCTCAGCCAGGCTAATGACGTCGTACCTTATACTTCTTGCTTGAATCGAAAGATCTTTTATAGCGGATTCGTGAGCAAGGGTTCTTGCGTTGTAGGTACTGATCGTCATTTTGGTCCGTTTCGATCTTGGCAGCCTAGTTCGGTCCTGAGATTTCAGCAGCCTCTCCGTACTCGTTCTACCTGGCGTTGCCGTACCAGGGGATCTTTCGGGGTCAGGGGAATGAGGCCTATATTTGTTACTGTTTTTGTCATTTTGATACCCAACGTATAGCTTGCCAGGTTCTGAATGTGGAGGCTGGGTACTCAGGAGTAGTTTGCCAGTCTCTCTCGGAGGAGCGGGAGGAGCTTATTTGTTGGAGTCGACTCCTAACCGCCTTCCATGTACCTCCCAGCCGCTTGATTGCAGGCTTTCGGCCTACTTGACTCGTAGAAATAGAGTTTTTGTCAAGTCGGGGCTGCAGCAACAAAGGTGCTCTTCCCTGAATCCACCTGCGCCTCTGAAACACACGGTCGATTTTGGTTTGCGTTTATTCCCCTATGCACCACCTGGGGACGCGCCACGTGCCCTTGCGACTAACCGGGCGGGAACCCTCAAAGAGGAAGGTTCGTGGACACTTTATATATTTGTATACATATATATGCGATGGAAATGTGTTCAGTCTTCTTCAAGGCTATAAGTGGTATGGATAATTCTTTGATGAGCCTCGAGCGGGACTTGAACCCCTCTTGTCTCTTTTGTGGGTCACCTGCCAACCACTGCGCTACCCAACCTTCGACTGGAGTCTCCGCATTTTTCATGTCAATAAAGGATAAAGCTCTCGGCGTTGATCAATCCCTGAGGGATGCGCCATGCATTCGACTTCAATTTTTAACTTCGTTTGAGGTGATTGAATGCATACCTGGCCTTTACAATGACTCGCGGAGGCCTCCCGCTGAGCCGAGTCAGTGCTGCTTATCCTCCCAGACAAGTCTGAGAAATGTCTGGTACCAATTTACCGACCCCGGAGGGATGGATGGCTTGGTGAGCCATGGGCGCGAGATCGAACCATTGACCTCGTGTGCGACGCAGGGCACCTCTAACCGCTGCGCCACATGCGCTCTTTTTTAAAACATTTGCATCAGGCGGAATTCGAACCCAGATCTCACTCTTTCCGAGAGCGCGTGTTGAACCATTGCACTACCGACGCTCGTTTTGCACAGAGCGCATGTGGCGCAGTGGTTAGATGTGCTCTGCGTCGCACACGAGGTCAGTGGTTCGATATTGCGCTCATGGCCCACCAAGCCATCCATCCCTCCGGGGTCGGTAAATTGGTACCAGGCAGGTTTCAGAGTTGTCTGGGAGGATAAGCAGCACTGACTCGGTTCAGCGGGAGGACACCGCGAGTCATTGTAAAGGCCAGATGTGCATTCAATCACCTCAAACGAAGTTAAAAATTGAAGTCGAATGCATGGCGCATCCCTCAGGGATTGATCAACGCCGAGAGCTTTATCCTTTTTTATATATGCGAGAAATGTCCATTTTTCAGATATTTCAACAGTAAAAACGCTGCATAAACAAACACGTTCAGCTGAGAGAATAATTACGTTTATTAGATAAAAAAAAATAACAATGGACAATAAAGTTTGTCAAGAACTCTCAAAAATGCTTTCTTAAGCCTCTATACATTTACGAAGTGGCTTACGAAGTTTTTCAACGATGCCCACACAGGCTTACACCTTAATTTGGCCTCGTGAGCGTTTCAGAAACGTTTCAAGCGCGTCCACGGTAGCGTAACAAGTAGACAAGACTTTTTCCTCGAGTGTAAATTACACGCAGTAGTGCACTGGGTTGAGGTCCTGCAAATATGGCGGCCAAATCTCTTTGCCCCAAAAGCCTGGAAACTGCTTTTGCCAAATGGCAATCACTCAGCGAGGCGCATGCACAGGAACCCAGTCCTGCTGAAACGTAAATTCGTCAGCGCCAGAGTTTTGAGTAGTCCAAGACTCCAGTACGCTCCTTGAAATTTACATTCGATGGACAGCAGTGTAGATTGGCTGTTGATTGTGACGTGATGCGGCAGTGTATTTTCTAATCGTAAGAAGCACGTTCGACAAACGAGCACTAGCTACTATACGAATCATTCGGCGAGCCTTTAAAAACCGTTTTTCCTTCATGTTGTTATTCAGATGGTGAGCACAAGCGGTCTTGTAGTTGCAAGAATTCATTTTATTTCTGACAATATTTCGGACACTTAATTCGCTGTTCCAGAGCTTCTCGAGCCATTTTGCACGTTGATAGCTCGGGATTTTATTGAACTTGGCAATGGATCTTCTGTATGCTTCCCAGAGTAAACGAGTTGGTTGAACAACATTTTCGAGGACCGTCTTTAATCCCTTTAGTCTCTCTGAAGCGTTTCACGGCTCTGCAGACACTTGTTTGTTCGAAACTAGTCAATTTTAACAATGTCGACCGTATCATTCTCCTCTTGTGCAACTCAACTATTGCGATACGTTCAATTATGCAACCCATGGCTTTGGCACAGCTGAAAACAGACAAATAAATAAAGCAGATTCCAGAACCAAATTCAACAGAGGCTTTTATAAAATTATCAAAACCAATGAAAAAATATTATATCACTATTAAACTTAACAAAATACGTATTTAACAGAACTTTCCTCGTGCCTTATATATATATATATATATATATATATAAATAAATATATATATATATATTATATGTATTTGTATAAGTATATACGTGCATACATTTATGTTGAACGGTATTTAAGACTTTGAATGACGAACGGGATTTGAACAGCATTTCACACTTTTCAGGGTTATGCGCGAACCATTGCACTACCGGCGCTCCCGTCCTGCCTTCACTTTTTCTTCTAGTCCCCCGAAAGGTTGAAATGGGGGTATGAATCCCGTTCGACGTTCAAAGTTTTGCGTATGACTAAACAAGTATTCCTAATAAAAGAAGCACTTGAGAAATTAAGAACCTAAGCGATCTATAAGAGACATTGTTCTATCGCTCTGTAGGTGTACGAACTACCAATCACGCTATTTTAATATACAGAGTGTTGTAGTTCTGTCTTGCTTTCACTTTGAATGTTGAATTTCATTGCCTTGCATCATATCGCTAGACAAAGAACTGAGATTTGACTAAACCTTGCCGACAGTGACAGAGAAAAAACCAGTGATGTATGGGACAGCGTGGAATCTCCTGAATTTCCTGCCAGAAAGTCTGAAAGAAGTGTATTCGAGGACATGCAGAACGATTATTACGTTCTTGATGAAAAAAAAGGTTACCAACGATCAGTGGTGTAATCCAGGCATTAAAAATTAAAGGATAAAGCTCACGGCGTTGATCAATCTTTGGGAGATGCGACAAACATAGGTCATTGATTCATAAGTTCATCTGAAGTGATTGAATGCATATCTGGAATTTACGATGACTCGCCGTGGCATCCCGCTGCATTAAATCGTCAGCTTATTCTCCCAGGTAAGTCTGGTACCAATTTATCGACTTGGCGGGTATGGATAGCCTGGCATGCTATGAGCATAAGATCGAACCATCAACATTGTGTACGAGCAGAGCATCTATGACCACTGCGCCACATGCCTCGTCCGGGCAGTACGGTAGAGATATGAATTGATAATTCGACCACGTCAAGACTACTGCGGAGGACCCACAGAGCGCTTGAACAATGTCTTTGAAAACTCAGTCGTAGCTCAGAATATCTAGTTGATTTGAGCAGGTAAAATCTCCAAAACCACTGTCATCTTCGCGATCCGGAGGACATATATCGATAGCGAAACAGAGCTGGGTCAGCCAAATAGTAAGAGGATCAGACAAAAGATGAATGAAACGAGCGATAGAGCAGACTACACGAGAATACACCTGACCCGAGCTTGACCACCTACACGTTATTCGGACGTATCTGTAGAAGAATTTATCAGCTGTACTTACAGGTGCCGATGCTTTTCAGATCATGGTATGAAACTCGCACCAGCTGCCGTGCTCAAATCGAACCACCACCCATGGGCGACAATCGAGACAAGAAGACTTGAGTGGAAAATGTGCTGGATCCGCACAATTCGTGAAGACGGACCATCCAATTATTCAAGTAGGATTGAACCGATAATACAGTAATATTATGATGGTTGTTACATGTTAGTTTATGCATTTTGAATTGATTTGTAATTTTGACTAACTAATGGTAACCTATTACATGTTATTGTCGAGTTTTGTCGAGTTCTCATCTCCGAAATTGCTGTCGGTATGGCCATGAACTTGGTAATGGACTCTTTACATGAATTGCATCATTTCAATATCCTCTTCAAAAGATTTTCGCATTCCAGCAGTAAAGATTACTCCTGGATTTCCCTATAGTTTTTGCAAGTTCATTGCAGTCAATATATTATCTCCTTCCGATTTGCTACCATTCCTTCCTTGTGGCCTACTTTATATTAGCATTCAATCTTCAGAATATTGGTTGTCAGCGCCTTTTTCTAAGTAGTGGCGGGAACTGACGGAAAGACTTTCTTGAGTAGTACACGGTAATGAGCGTGAAAGGTTTCATCATGGATTCATTTTGACATGTTGAGAAGACCATCGAGTTCCTTCAAGTTTTAACTTATTACAAAAATCCAGTGTGTTACTTTTTGATATTTATTTGCATTTACAGCTGATCGTAAGATCAGTCGGATGTATATTATAGGATTTCTAGTTTCTGAAGTCTCACGCAAACAATTTGCACATTCAACTTGCGTCTTCAGTCTCACATGTCATGTGTTGCAGTGATACTAAAGAATTCACACCGGCATAACCAAACTCAACTTGACATACTGATAGGTAGCTATTGCTTTCTACTTTAAATGATGTTTGCCCATCTAATATAGATTTAATCTTGCTATGCTCTTTCACTGAAGCGAATGCATGGCGCATCGCTTAAGGATTGATCAATTCGGAATTCGCCGTAGCAGGATTTGCTATGCGGGACTTTTTCGCCGTTACAAAGCACGTCTCAGACTGGGGTGAAACCTTTTATTGTAGTGATATCAGCACAGACGGTGCGGCGATATGAAGAAATTTAGTAGAGACAGAGGTGTGGAAGAGATATGAATGTGCACATATGGTATGCTGATAAATGGATTGTCTTCAACCGAACTGGTAAAGCAAGAGTGTGAAACATTTTACGATGAAACGGATATTACTGACTAACTAGTCGTGCCAGAAGTGTATGTGGTTGATAGCAAACACGATAAGCATAGGATACATACGATACCGTTGAGACAGCACTTGTTCAGAGAAATAATCATAATATGGATGCATACGATTACAAAGAAAAATCTGTGATTTAATCAGAATAATTAAGATTTACAAATTTCGCATTTTGCTGGCCTATCGTCCATTAAAAGAACAGGCACATACATTTTTCTAAGATTTTCAACACTGCTTTCTCATTGTCACTGATGTCTTGTTCAGGCGAAGACAAAAACTTCAAAAGATCTGGGCCTTCGAAATGTCAAAATATGACACTTCAGCAGCTCATGAGAAAAATTGTCGCCTATAGAAAAGAATACGTGGAACCTTAACATATGCATCTGATGAAACAAAGAAGAAAATCATCATAAAATAGATCCGCGCAGGAATTTTTTGTTGGAAAAGATTGCAGAGGTATGACAATGATGATTTAATTGTGAACACATGTTTACAGAAAATCGTTCTAGGCGAAGTTCAGGAAACGGTTAGCTTTAGCAAGGAAAAGCCACGTTTGAATCTTCTTCGCTGTAGTTATTTAAATGTCAAACAGATCTTCATCATCAACAGAATGCTTAGCGAAATGACCTGTCAAACTCCTAAACTGTGTTTTGTTTTGTGGTAAAGATTGTCTCCCTCTAAATCTTAGGAAAGTGTTCAAGAAGAGACGAATGGTGTTCGTTGCTCCGTTAACGCTCAAAGGGATGGTTATTTCCGAATGCTCTCATTACGTCTGTAAACGGCAAAAGGCCAATATGATAAACGTTCTAGCTCGAGAATTAAGCAGGAGGTAGAAAGCGGTTGAGATTGCTAAATATGTGGTGAAGAAAATGAAGATCCAAATACCAAGTCCTCCATTTCGGCTCTTAGAAACTTTTTCAAGGCCTTTATTGTTTTTTATGAAAACTGGCCACCATAAGCAGGACAAAGGATCATTCAGA